GTGAGGCGGGCCAGAAGGCTCCCTGGGCATAGGGCACTTCCTATTACACCACCCCACAGTCCAGTCAGAGGTGGGACGGGAGAGCGCATGGCCATCCCTTTTACGGTTTCCTGGCAAGTGATACAGAGTAACTGGAGAAGCAGAAGCTCCTGTCCAGGCACATCTGGCTCCTAAGTGAGTGCTCTTAGCTCCTGTTAGCATTTCTCCCCTACCCTGGAGGACAGAGCTGGACCCACGTGTAAACATTACAGGATGGCAGATACCAGCTGCCTGTAAGGAAAAACCTGTGTGGCATCCAGCAGGGGGCACCCCAGGGCTGTCTCTGGGACAGTGGGGCCAGTTGAAGCCAGAGACAGCAGATAGGGCTTTCATGTCTCCTAAGATCCTATTTTTTATTTAAAAATTAAAAAAAAAAAATACACATTCAGAGACAGGGTCTCACTCTATCACACAGGCTGGAGTGCAGTGGTATGATCATGGCTCACTGCAGCCTCAATTTTCTGGGCTCAAGCAATCCTTCCCCCTCAGCCTCCTGAGTAGCTGGGATTGCAGGCATGTGCCACCACACCAGGCTAATTTTTATTTTTTGTGGAGATGGGGTCTTGCCATATTGGTCAGGCAGGTCTCAAACTCCTGGCCTCAAGCAATCCTCCTGCCTCGGCCTCCCAAAGTGCTGGGATTACAGACGTGAGCCACCATGCCCAGCCAGTTCTTCCTAATCATTTGATATTTATGAAGATGGACCTACTATATGTAAGGTAGGGACAAAACAAAGTCTCTGGTCTCTTGGAATGTACAGTCTAGATGGAGAAACGTAACACAAGCAACTAAATGAGTGAACAAGATAATTACCCACATGAGATAGCACTTCATCAATAAGCCAGGCACTACTCTAAAAGCTTTTTATATATTAATTTGTCATAATAACCTCACGAAGTGGAAACTATGATTACTTCCATTTTTACAGATGAGAAATTTGGGCCCGGCGCAGTGGTTCATGCCTGGAATCCCAGCACTTTGGGAGGCCGAGGTGGGTGGATCACTGGAGGTCAAGAGTTTGAGACCAGCCTGACCAACATGGTGAAACCCCGTCTCTACTAAAAATACACAAAAATTATTTGAGTTTGATGGTGTGCACCTGTAATCCCAGCTACTTGGGAGGCTGAGACAGGAGAATTGCTTGAACCCAGGAGGCAGAGGTTACAGTGAGCTGAGATTGCACCACTGGACTCCAGCCTGGGCCAGAAGAGCCAAACTCAGTCTCAAAAAAAAAAAGAAAAAAAGAAAAAAAAAAAGACAAAGAAAAAAAGAAAATTGAAGCACAGAGAGATTAAGCAACTTGCCTCGGGCCACACTGCTAAGAAGTGATGGAACTGGAATTCTTTTTTTTTTTGATACAGAGTCTTGCTTTGTCGCCCAGGCTGGATTGCAGAGGTGTGATCTCTGCTCACTGCAACCTCTGCCTCCTTGGTTCAAGTGATTCTCCTGCCTCAGCCTCCCAAGTAGCTGGGATTACAGGCGTCCGCCACCATGCCTGGCTAACTTTTTTTTTTTGTATTTTTAGTAGAGACGGAGTTTCACCAGGTTCGCCAGACTGGTTTCAAACTCCTGACCTCAAATGATCCACCTGACTCAGCCTCCCACAGCACTAGGGTTACAGGCATGAGCCACCACACCAGGCTGGAACTGGAATTCTACTTAGCCACTTAGACACTTGACCTCTGCAGTATAGAGAAGGAGGGAAGGAGTGCTATTTTGATTGGGGTGATCAGGGAGGACTTCTCTGAGGAAGTGATTTTTTTTTTGGAGACGGAGTCTCACTCTGTTGCGCAGCCTGGAATGCAGTGGTGCTATCTCAGCTTACCGCAACCTCCACTTTCCAGATTCAAGCGATTCTTGTGTCTCGGCCTCCCGAGTAACTGGGATTACAGGCATACACCACCATGCCCAGCTAATTTTTTTTTTCCTAAATAGAAACAAGTTCTGTCAGGCTGGTCTTTAACTCCTGGCCTCAAGTGATCCACCCGCCTCTGCCTCCCAAAGTGCTGGGATTGCAGGTGTGAGTCACGGCACCTGCCTGGAAATGACACTTGAATCACGTGATAACAAGAAACCAGCCACAGGGCTCTGGGGAAAGAGCATTGCAGAGGCAGCCAAAGGCTCCGAGGTGGGAATGAGCTTATTCACAGGTTAGAAAGGCAGCCAGCATGGCTAGGGCAGTGAGCAAGTGAGGAGGTGATCTGACGTGAGCTTGGAGATGTAGGTGGGTGACCCAGAGAGTTTCCTGAGGACCTACTATGTGCTCTGCCCTATAGGATATAAATGCTGTAGGAAGCAGATATGATATCATTTCCGTTAAGGAAAAACCTTTGCTCTGTTCAGCAGGAGCTAGGGATGGGGGTTTAGACATCAGCTGCTGACAATCTTGTTGATGAAACCTAATTTCCCAAGAGTAGCAGGATGATCAGGATGATGATGATGGTGATGATGCTGATGGCAGCAATGATGGCAATGACAGGCATTTGCTGAGGACCTAGAGCGCCAGTTCATGTGCTAAGTGCACAGGCTCATTTAATCTGCGCAGTGGCCCTCTCTGGTAGATATAGATGTTCCCAAGTTATAGACAAAAGAGCTAAGACTCAGAGATGCTCGGTAGCTTGCCACGGTCACGCAATGAATAAGGAGTTGAAGCTGGCTTTCCAGCTTAAGTCTTTTTTTTCTTTAAATTGACATTTTATATGTGTATATAGACTTTTAATTAACATTATTTTCACAGAGCCAAGCAAACATTTTCAGTCGGCAGGAGGGAAAGAGGGGAGTTGTGGGTTGTGTTTTTTTTTTTGAGGTGGAGTCTCGCTCTGTCGTTCAAGCTGGAGAGCAGTGGTGCAATCTCAGTTCACTGAAACCTCCACCTCCCAGGTTCAAGCGATTCTCCTGCCTCACCAGCTTAAGTTTTAACGACTTTGCTGGGGTACAGAGTCAGAAGGGGCCACATGCTGGGGGACAGAGCAAGGACAGAAGCTGGGGGCTTCCAGGAGGAAGAGCAGAAAGAGTTGGAGATGATGAGGACACTGGGCTCCGGAGTGTCTGGGCGTACCATTACCCCAGGCAGAAGGAGGGATGCTAGATGTTTGGGTGCTATTTTGGCTAAGGGGTCAGGGAAGGTAAAATGAATTTCCTCTTAGATTTCTCAGCGGAAACTTCTGTTTAACAGTTTTGTAATGGAAAAGTCCCTCTTCCCCTTTCTGATTTCTTTTTCTTTTCTTTTTTTGAGACGGAGTCTCGCTCTATTGCCAAGCTGGAGTACAGTGGCGCGATCTCGGCTCGTTGCCTCTGCCTCCCGGGTTCAAACGAGTCTCCTGCCTCAGCCTCCTGAGTAGCTGGGACTACAGGCGCCCGCCACCACGCCCAGCTAATTTTTGCATTTTTAGGAGAGATGGGGTTTCACCATGTTGGTCAGGCTGGTCTAGAATTCTTGACCTTGTGATCTGCCCGCCTCGGCCTCCCAAAGTGTTGGGATTACAGGCGTGAACCACTGCACCTGCCCTCTGATTTCTTTACTTTAAACATCTGGATTTTTGTGTGCACAGTGTATTCAGTTGTGGACACAGTGTATTCAGTTGTGCACACAGAGGGAGAGAAGGGCCAGTTCCTCCAAGTACCACTAGGTGTCAGCATTGTCAAGGCTGGCCCCAAGCTGGGTCTGTCCTGCCCATTTCTCTACGGAGGAAAAGTCGAATTTGAATCCAAATCCTGGTCTCTTTCCATTGCTTGGGGCTGAGCCTGGGTCCTCAGGGGCTGGGATTTGGAGCTGCTCTGACCCCAGAGGCTCTATGAGAAACATTTAGGAGGCTAGGTCTCCAAGGCCTGGGAGGCCCCTGGGTCTCACCCCAGGCCACATAGCAAGGGCTTTGGATGGCTGGAATCCCCTCCAGAGCTGGGCCCCTCCCAACTAGGGAGGGCCGGTGGTATCCTGGGATCTAGCCCCCAGTGAGTCTGGGAGTCTAGAGCCCCCACCAAGTCCATCCCCACCTCAGCAGAGCCCCGGGCCTTGTTTCAGGTCCCAAGCCTGCAGCGAACACAGAACACCCAGGCAGATCCATTCCTGGGCTCCTGGTGCTTAATGACTTTGCTATTTCCCCCCACTGTACATGAAACCTAATATTGTGTTGACTGTGCTGAACAAGGAGAATAATGAAGAAGATTAAGATGAGATGGTATTCATTCTCCTCCAACAAAAGCCAATTAATCGTCAGTAGGATTACCACCCGGAGCCAGGCGCTGCTTGCTAGGAGCTCTGCAGACAGGATGGAACAGGGCTGGGGGCCATTCGCTAGTACGGCCACTGGGGTCTGCTGGTCATGCAGCAGGAAATATTGCAGGTAGATGTTAGGGAGAACTGCCTGGATGAAGGAGGGGGCTGGTGCCAAGGAGGAGGGTGTGAAGAGCTTGGAATCACCACAGAGGTGATGTTTCTAAGTCATGGAGGGGAGCTCTGTGGAAGTTCCTGACCACCTGACCATGTCCATCCTAGGCCCTCTGGGACCTTCCCCTGCCTTTCTGCAGTCACCTGTGATGAATGAAGCTGCATTCAGGGGTCTCTGGCCTCCTCCCCACTCTGCTTTTTTCCCTCCCTTCCTCTCCTAGGAATCAGGGAGGCCATTTGTCCAGGGTTAACAGCTTAGGTTTAGAGTCAGAAACATGGCCGGGCACGGTGGCTCATGCCTGTAATCCCAGCACTTTGGGAGGCCAAGGAGGGTGGATGGCTTGAAGCCAGGAGTTCCCGACCAGCCTAGGCAACATGGTGAAACCCCGTCTCTACCAAAAAATACAAAACAATTAGGTGGGCCTGGTGGCACATGCCTGTAGTCCCAGCTACTTGGGAGGCTGAGGCATGAGAATCGCTTGAACCTGGGAGACGGAGGTTGCAGTGAGCAGAGATCGCGCCACTGCAGTCCAGCCTGGGTGACAGTGAGATTTTCTAGAATAGAATAGAATAGAATAGAATAGAATAGAATAGAATAGATAAAATAAAATAAAACAGAAACACTTGAGCTTCACCTGGCTTTGCCCCTTGTCCTCAAATGGAGCCTACCATCCTCACCTGCCAACCTGGTTTGATGCTCCCAGGCACTAATGTGCCTCTGGTTCCCTGCACCCACTAGATTCTTGGAACAAGACGGTAAAGCTGAATGGAACAGCCTGACTGCTGCTGGCCGTTGCTGAAAGGTGAGGAAACCAACATTTGTTGATCTGCTGCTGCATTATCTCATTGACTGCCTACAGCAACCTCCTCGGGAGGCTTTATTTTTGTCATCACAATTTATTGAGGAGGAAGCCGAGGCTCAGAGACGTGGGGCCCTTGGTCGAGGTCACCAAGCTATAGGCTGCAGATTTCGCTGGGACAGGGTTTCTGTCGCAGTGGCCCCCAAAGCTTGAACGCTTTCCCCATCTGCACGTTGCTTCATGCACATGGAAGGCATTCAGTGCGTGCTGGCCGGATGAATGAAACGCTCATCAAATGCTATTTCTGGTCCAGTAAGTTCCGTTTCAGACTCTCCCACATCCTGATAACTCCCAGAAGTAAATGGATTGTGTGTGATTTGTGAAATTCTTCTTGGTAATTCTTGGCAACTCACCCATCTTACTACCACTGTGAAGAAAACTCTACCCTCCCATCCAGATCTAAGAGTTTGCTTCATTTACTCGGATTGATGAGGTTTTTTAAAATTTCTTTTTTATTTTATTTTTATTTTCCGAGCATGGCAAAAGTATCCTCAAAGTCCAATTTTACAATCTATGCTATCTCACACATGCTGAGCACTCACCATATGATAGGTGTGTTCAAAACATCACTTGTGTATGGTTTTATTGAATCCTCCAAGCACATCTATATGCTATTATTCCCATTTCGGAGGCTGAGATGAAACTGAGGCCCAGAGACATGCATTCTCGCCCCAGGTCACACAGCAAGGGCTTTGCATGGATGGAATCCCCTCCACAGCTGCCTCTCCCTGCACCCCCCCCGCCACCACCTGCAGGTTTTCCTGGGCGAAGTGATTCTTGCGGAGGGATTCTAGTCCTGTGCGTTGAACAGGAATCGTGGTGGAGGCGATGGGCTTCTGGGTTCAGTTGGAACTGGTGGAATCTTCTGTGTTCCACAAATCACACACTTAGGCTCAGCCTCAGGAATCGATCTTTGGTTCATATGTGAAAGGATTTACCACTTAAGCTTTTTTTTTTTTTTTGAGACGGAGTCTCGCTCTGTCGCCCAGGCTGGAGTGCAATGGCCGGATCTCGGCTCACTGCAAGCTCCGCCTCCCGGGTTTACGCCATTCTCCTGCCTCAGCCTCCCTAGTAGCTGGGACTACAGGCGCCCGCCACCTCGCCCAGCTAGTTTTTTGTATTTTTTAGTAGAGACGGGGTTTCACTGTGTTAGCCAGGATGGTCTCGATCTCCTGACCTCGTGATCCGCCCGCCTCGGCCTCCCAAAGTGCTGGGATTACAGGCGTGAGCCACTGCGCCCGGCCGCTTTTTTTTTTTTTTTTTTTTTTTTTGAGACAAAGTCTTGCTCTGTCACCCAGGTTGGAGTGCAATGACATGATTTTGGCTCACTACAACCTCCACCTCCCAGATGCAGGCAATTCAACTGCCTCAGCCTCCGAGTAGCTGGGATTACAGGCGTGCACCACCACACCTGGCTGTTTTTTGTATTTTTAGTAGAGACGGGGTTTCACCATGTTGGTCAGGCTGGTCTAGAACTCCTGACCTCAAGTAATCCGCCTGCCTTGGCCTCCCAAAGTGTTGGGATTACAGGCGTGAGCCCCTGTGCCCGGCCATGTTTCTGACTCTAAACCTAAGCTGGCACCTTCTGTGTGCCAGCACCTTGTTATGCTTTGAGGATACAACAGTGAACCAATGAGGTTCTTGTCCTCTAGGAGCTCACAGACTAAAGAGAGAAAAGGATCGGAGTTCCCAGTTCTGACCCTCCCCGGGTGTGTGACTAGTCAGTGCCTCAGTTTCCACATCTGTAAAATGGGGATGATTTTGTTACTTACCTGATAGGATTGTTATGAGAATCAAATGAATTAATATAGGTAAGACACTTAGATCAAGGCCTGCACATAAAAGTTGCTGCATACAAGTTTGTTCAGTAAAATGGACAAGTCTGGCAACTATAGTCTAATAACAGTAAAAGGGCTGTGAGGGGAAGCCTACTGAATTTTAGAGGAGAGACATCTAACATAGACCTTGATCAGAGAAGGCTTCCTGGAGGAGGCGGTCCATGGATTCTTGACCCAAGTGATGATAGGAGGGTGAATTACTTCGCTAGCCAGCTTGTAGCTTCCTGGGCTGTCACTGGGAGCTGCAGTACTTACTGGCCTTTTCCCAGGGCTTATTGTCATAATTTATCAATGTGCTAACCACTGTAGTGGCATCTGGATTTGAATAGAAATCTCTGTCCTCAGGGACCCATGATTGAGAGGGGTGGGAGCAAAGGGTCCTGAATATGTTCTAGGACAGAAGAACAGGCCCCCAGATGCTGTGGGCAGTGTGTGGGGAGGTCTCCAGTGGGGTAGGTTGTAGAGAGGCCCTCAAAGCTGCAGAAAGACAAAGATGTCTTTGAAAAAAAGAAAACGGAAAAAAAAAAAAAAAAAAAAAGGAAGGGGGAAGCCGGCAGGGAAAATGATTTTCTCGGTTGGCATTTCTTGGGGAATTAAATCTTATTTTTCGTCACCACCAAGTGGAATAATCCAATATATTAAGGCAGAAGCCCCCACTCCTATTTATTGCCGCGACTTTCACCTAACAGTCTCGGGTCTGCATTTGGAATCAGACCGTCCCGGGGAGGGAGAGCAGGAGGGAGGAGGCATCAACCCCTTGGATCAATTACTTTCCTCTCCGACACAGGAAAAATGAATTATTCCCCGAAAAGCAGGCACCTCATCCGATGAATTCTGCACTGCAGAGCTGGCGGAGTTCTACTAAATTGAATTTGGTCTTTGAGAGACATTTAAAACCAAGTGGAGCGTGTGTGCTGGTGGGGTGTGTCTGACAGCCACTGGGGCTTATGTTAGTTGGGGCTGAAGAAGCCCCCACCCAGTTACAGTCCTCTGGGTCCAGGGGGCAGGAGGTAGCCATGCTTCCTGCCCCAGGGACCCCCGGCACTCTGCAGGGATGAGATGTTTTTCTCCCAGTCTGAGGCTCAGAGAAGTGAGGTTGCTTGTCTGAGGCCACACAGTGAGCTGGTAACCATAGCAACCTGTTACCTTTATGTCCCTGTCCTCTGGGTCCTGCTGAAAATGTTCCTCGCCTTCCCAGGGAACCCCAGGTTGAGCAAGTTGGAGCTGGGAGCTTTCTTCTCTGGAGCACTGGTTCTCCATGTCCATGGCTGTATCACCTGGGGCAAGTAGCTTCACCTCTCTAGGCCTCTGTTTCCTGACCCAGAAAACAGCGTTAACTACAGTCCTTGTAGCGTTTGCTTCTCTATCAGATACAAAGGGCAGAAATGCAATTCCAGGTGTTTTAATCCAAAAGCAAAGGTTTTGGCTCACATGAATGAGAACCTCCGTGTGGATTTCTGGCAGTGTCCTTTCAGGTACAGCTGGATCCAGAGGCCCCAACAGTGTATTCAGAACTCGGCTTTTCTCTGTCTCTCAGCTCTGTGTGGCTTCATCCCAGGGAGGCTCACTCCAGAAGGGGTCGGGTGCTCCCCAGGCCTATGTCCTTCCAGCATCAAGTTCAATGGGTTCATGCGCCCACCTCTGAGCTAGTTGCTGTGGCTAGAGGGTGCCCTGGTGGGCAAGGCTCGGGGTGGAGTCACCCAGTAAGAACCATGTGGCTGACGGAAGAGTGCAGACGGTGCTGGGTCAAAAACCTAACACAGAACCCCACCCCTCACAGGTCTCGACATGGAAGAATTCATCATGGTGCTTGCCACAGGGCAACTGCTCAGCCAGCCATGACTCTGCTGACAGTGACTCCTTCTGTTTCCACTAAGGGGGCTGCCACGTCCTCCTGGGCAGGGTGTGAGGGGCCCTCCCTGGACTTCCTTTGCCTCCGTCATGGCCTCCCACTGCCTCTGCTCCCATCGCCAGGCCAGGTGTCAGGCATCAGCCCTCTGCCTGGCCAGGAGTCCCCAGGGAATGGGGGGCATTCCTCACCCCACACATCCTGGGAGCTGCAGAGCCTGCAATTTCACTAATGATGTGGAGAAGAGAAGAAAAGACTAGCCCAAGAGGGAGCTATTTTAGCCGAAAAACCTCCCCATGGATTTGGGCCGGTTTTTCAGCACTAATGAGCTGGGGCCAAGGGAGTTTCCAGGGAGGGAGGCAGCTATGTCTGGTCCAGGTTCTGGTTCTAGAGGGGCTGGAGGTCTGGCCAGGGAGAGAGGAGTGGGGGGCCGGGGAGGGTGCAATGGGGGGCTCTGTGCCTCGAGCTGAGGAGTGCTCACTGGCTCACCCCACAGATGCACTGCTTACTCTGTGTTATCCCCGCTCTCCTCACATAGGAAAGATCCTCAATGGCCAAGATGATCTTGCCAAGCTTTGTTATCTCTATAACCCCTACTGTGAGAACACTGTGTATCTGTTTTATTTTCCCCTGATATAAAGTCATGACATGATATTGCAATTGCCTTTTTTTTTCTTTTATACAGAGTCTTCCTCTGTCACGCAGGCTGGTGTGCAGTGGTGCTATCTCTGTTCACTGCAACTTCTGCCTCCCAGGTTCAAGTGATTCACCTGCCTCAGCCTCCTGAATAGCTGGGACTATAGGCATGTGCCGCTGCAAACTTACAGACTGGGAGATACTGTTTTCACCAGATTCTAGGCTTCAGCCTGACCCTATCCCTCAATTTCTAATGTCTTTGGGAGAGCATTCACCCAGTCAGTTAGCTTTGAGGGTAGACTGGAGCTCTAGGCCTGACCTGACCCCCTGGGTGGTTTGCTGGTTTTCTCTGGTCCTTGATGAGCCAGACTAAAATGTCAAGGTGATAATCCTTGTCTTCTCCCCCATCAGTGCTGATTCCACCTGAGAAAATGTTGGTCTGGTGGTGAAGGGACAGGCAGTCCATGCAAATACGCACTATGCAGTCACATGAGGTTTCTCCAAAGCCAGCATCTCCCTCAAATACTGGAAGTCAGCACACACTGTGGCCAGAGAAGACAGCCCATTCATACCCTGTCCAGAACCCAAAAGAAGAGCAGGGCTATACCTGGCACAACAGACCCCGCAGACAAAACTTGCCAGAGTCCAGCAGCTGCACTTCTGCCTAGCTGAAGCGGGGGGTTTCCTGTGTCCACAGGGGCTGGAAGTTGGGGACCAGTGATGCTTTTCCTTTGAATGACTTTGCGCCCCAGTCCTGGGTTTTAGTCACTTTGGGATGTGGGGAAGCAGAACTTTAGGGAAAGATATGGTCCTGTGCCATTCAGATCACCTGCAGCAGTTGCCTTAGGGTGGGGAGAATTTTCAGAGCATGCCAACCAGGCTAGAGGGTGGAAGGGAAACCATGTGGACCCCGGACCGAGAGAGAGGTGCTTCAGCACTGCGGACAGCGCCCTGCCAGCCTCTGAGACCCAGAGACCTGAGCAGTGAGGAGTGGGGATCCTGAATGAAAGAGCCTCATGTGGCCAGGGCAACCCAGTCCCTGCCCTCAGGGAAGGAGAGAGGGGAGGCACAAGGATTATTAGCACTTCTATCAGCCAGCACTGGTGATGGACACTTTAATACATTAGCCCACCCTGGCTTCCTCTTTATTCTTATTTTACAGCAGAGAGAACGGAGGCTCAGCAAGGCTGAATAGGCTGCCCAGGTCACACAGCTAGTTAGCGGTAGAGCATGAACTTCTGTCCAAGTTCATCTGGCTCCAGACATCTTACTGTCTCTCTGATCAAATGGGAGAGGTACAGCCTTCAAACACTTGTGGCAACCATGGCCCCAGAGCTGCGGGCATTTGTGGTTGGAAGGCTGGATTTGCATTTGTGTGTGGTTTTGTAGTGCTTCTGGGTGTGCATGAGGGTGAATTCAGTGGAGTGTGACTGTTTACAGGAGGCTGTGTGAGTCCCCATGGGAGCTAGAAGATGAGAGGTGGTGTCACATCTCAAAGACCCTCCCTCCTCCCTCCTCCTGGAAGGAGACCTAGAATCCACTGGCCTTTTTTTTTAAGCACTTAAAGAACAGACCAGAACTGATAGCTAAATTAAACCTGCTGAGAGTGCCTGTTTAATTGAAAATGCCATCTGTAATTTAAATGTCAGAATTGGGATGGTTATTATAGGCGCCTTGAAGACTGGGGCTCATTTCACAGTTTCAAAACAGACCGGGAAAAGCAGCAAATGGACCATGGCCTGCAGTGTCGTGAAGCGATTAATAACTTCTCTGGTCCTGCTGAGCTCTGGCTCCCACCACTGCCCTCACAGAGGGAGTATGGCTGGGAGCTGGGAGCTAAGGGCTTGGGCTCTGGGACTCCGCCTCCTGCCTCGCCCCCTCCACGCCTCTGTGCCATCCTCCACTCAGCTTCAGGGCAACCATTCCAAAGGGTGATGCTTATCCTGTCTCACTTCAGGGTCTCCCTGGCACTTCTGGAATGAAATCCTAACCTCTTAGTCTGGCACTCAAGGCCTTTGGAAGGCAAGGCCCTGCCTCCCTCTCTAGGTTTGGTGCCTGCCACTGGCTGCTCCTGACATCCTGAATGCCTCCAGGCCTTTGCACAAGCTGAGCCCTCAGCCTGGACAGCCATTGCTTTTCTTACCCACCCGGTGAACACAATGTATCATTTATGATTCAGCCCTTGTGTCACCATTTCCAGGAAGCCTTCCGTGAGTAGCCTATGCCTCCCCAAAGCACTGATCCAGGCCAGGTTAAGTTTCCTTGTCTCCCATGGCCCCTTGCTCACCTTCATAGCTGACTTACCATGGGATTGTCTATTCGCCAGTCTCTGTATGCTGTGAGCCCCTTAAGGACAATGATAGTGCCTTGTTCTTCTGAGACCCAGTGCTCTGCCCTGAACAATGACAATAGATAACATTTATTGAGCACCTACTGCTGTATCAGGCACTGTCATTAGTCCCATCAAAATAGTTTTTTCATGAACCGTACATGAGACTTAACATTAGTCCTCCCCCTTTTTTTAAATGGAGTCTTGGCCAGGCATGGTGACTCACGCCTGTAATCCCAGCACTTTGGGAAGCCAAGGTGGGTGGATCTCTTGAGGTCAGGAGTTCGAGACCAGCCTAGTCAACATGGCAAAACTTCATCCTTACTAAAAATACAAAAATTAGCTGGGCCTGGTGACATGGACCTGTAATCTCAGCTACTCGGGAGTCTGAGGTAGGAGGATCACTTGAACTCAGGAGGTGGAGGTTGCAGTAAGCCGGGATAGTGCCACTGCACTCCAGCCTGGGCAGCAGAGTGAGACTCTGTCTCAAAAAGAAAAAAAAAATGGAGTCTCACTCTGTCACCTAGGCTGGAGAGCGATGGTGAGATCTTGGCTCACTGCAGCCTCCTCCTCCTGGGTTCAAGAGATTCTCCTGCCTCAGCCTCCCGAGTAGCTGGGATTACAGGCATGCACCACCATGCCTGGTTATAATTTTTGTATTTTTAGTAGAGACAAGGTTTTGCTGTGTTGGTCAGGCTGGTCTTGAATTCCTGACCTCAAGTAATCCACCTGCCTCAGCCCCCCAAAGTGCTGGGATTACAAGCATGAGCCACCACAACCAGCCTAGTCCCATTTTTTGAGATGAAAAAACTGAGGCATGGAGGGTGACTTGTCACAAGCCAAATGGCTACCAGTGACGGTGCTGGGACTTGGATGGAGGCAGCCTGTCTCCAGAGGCCAACTTCTTAACCACTATGCTATAATGCCACATTCAGGGCCCTCTGCTTGGAGAATATTTGTTCATTTAACACATAAAGGGCTCGTCGGGTGTGTTCTATCCCAGGGAGGAGATGCCATAACAAAGTGATCCAAAGGGAGCTAAGCTAACCCCCACCCAAATGAACTTCCTGTTTCTGGACCTCAGGCCCTGGTGCTTCTTTCATGCACTAGAGGCTTTCAAGAGGGGAGATCCCTTTGCCAAGGCCCCCAGAGCTTAAAGGGGGGGTCTTTATCCCCTTTTCCCCCCGTCCACCATAGACAACTCCCTGCCAGCTCTGTGCTCTGTCTGTAATCCCCCAATTGCACTTAATGGGGCAGTGAGGTGCAGTTGGATATCGTGGTTGGCGCCCCAGCTTTGCTACTTAAAGCCTATGTAAGTAGCAAACGTTTCACCTCCTGACCTCACTGTCTTCATCTCTAAAGTGGGGTCCTAATCATATCTAACTCAGAGTGTTGAGGATTAAATGAGATCGCGGAGGTGCAGTGCTTAGTAGAGGTACCCAGCAAAGGCCCAGCATGTGAGAGCTGTAACTTCCTTTTCCTTCCTTCCTTCTCCCTACCTTCCTTCCTTCCTTCCTTCCTTCCTTCCTTCCTTCCTTCCTTCCTTCCTTCCTTCCTTCCTTCCCTCCTTCCTTCCTTCTTTTCTTCCTCCCTCCCTCCCTTCCTTCTTTTTTTTTTTTTTTGAGATGGAGTGTCCCTCTGTCACCCAGGCTGGAGTGCAATGAAGTGATCTTGGCTCACTGCAACCTCTGCCTCCCAGGTTCAAGCGATTCTCCTGCCTCAGCCTCTTGAGTATCTGGGATTACAGGCGTCCACCACCATACCCGGCAAATTTTTGACAAGGTTTCGCCATATTGCCCAGGCTGGTCTTAAACTCCTGACCTAAGGTGATCTTCCCATCTCGGCCTCCCAAAGTGCTGAGATTACAAGTGTGAGCCACTACACTCGGCCTATATTTCCTTTTTCCTTCCTTCCTTCCTTTCTTCCTTCCTTTCTTCTTCCCTCCTTCCTTCCCTCCCTCCCCTTCCCTTCCCTTCCCCTTCCTCCCTCTTTCTTTCTCTTCCTTCCTTCCTTTCTTTCTTCTTTCTTTCTTTTTTTCCTTTCTTCTTTCTTTCTCTTGCTTTCTTCTTTCTTCTTTCTTTCTTTCTCTCCATTCCTTCCTTCCTCTTTCTTTCTTTTTTCTTTCTTTCTTCTTTCTCTCTCTCTCTTTTTCTTTCTTCCTTTCTTCTTTCTTTCTCTCTCTCTTTCTTTCTCCCTCCCCTCCCCTCCCTCCCTTCCTTCCCTCCCTTCCCTCCCTCCCTCCCTCCCTCCCTCCCTCCCTCCCTCCTTCCTTCCCTCCTTCCTTCCTTCCTTCCTTCCTTCCTTCCTTCCTTCCTTCCTTCCTTCCTTCCTTCCTTCCTTCCTCTTTCTCTCTCTCTCTCTCCAAGCCCATGTCCTGGGTAACAGTCTGTGCCTACTCAGTGTTGCTGGGCCCCCAACTTCCAGTGTTGGGGCATTGTTAACTGCTTAGTGGAAAGAAAGTTGCCAAGATCATATTTTTGCGTCTGATGCTGCACCCATCATGCTCTCAGCATAGCCCCAATCTCCCAGCCCCCTGCCCACAGCCCATCTTTGTGTTCTTTCCACCCTCTCTCCTGCTCCATCCTTGACCTGGTCTTCTCTGGGGTTGTCGTGCAGTCATTTATTCCCTCAGCCAAGAGAAAAACACAGAAACTCGCTCCTAATTAGGTGGTTTCTATCTCCCCAGGTCTTCACT